AAGAAGAAGCTCCCCCCAACGGGGGCGGAGCCGGAGGCGGAGGCGGAGCCGGTGACGGAGGAGCAGGTGAGAACCTGGGATGTCACCACCAGCAACTGCACGGCCAACCCGAACTTCACCCAGATAGACTGGTTCAAGGGGCTGGAGCCCAACTTCCAGCAGTTCCTGCTGTACCGGCACTGCCGGTATTTCCCCATGCTGATCAACCACCCGGAGAAGTGCAGCGGGGCCGTCGACCTGCTCATCGTGGTCAAGTCCATCATCACGCAGCACGACCGGCGCGAAGCCATCCGGAGGACCTGGGGTGAGGAGAAGGAGATGGGGGGCAAGAAGATCAAGACGCTGTTCTTGTTGGGCACGGCCGCCAAGGAGGAGGAGAGGGCCAACTACCAGAAGCTGCTGGATTACGAGAACTTCATCTACGGGGACATCCTGCAGTGGGATTTCCTGGACAGCTTCTTCAACCTCACCCTCAAGGAGGTGCACTTCTTGAAGTGGCTCAACATCTACTGCGACAACGTCCGCTACGTCTTCAAGGGGGACGACGACGTCTTCGTCAGCCCCCGCAACATCCTGGAGTTCTTGAAGGACCAGAAGCAGGAAGACCTCTTAGTCGGGGACGTCCTGTACAAGGCCAGGCCCATCCGCAAGAAAGAGAACAAGTACTACATCCCCAGCGCCCTCTACAACAAGAGCACCTACCCTCCCTACGTGGGCGGCGGGGGCTTCCTCATGGACGGACCCCTGGCCAAGAAACTGCACAAGGCCTCCGAGACCTTGGAGCTGTACCCCATCGACGACGTCTTCCTGGGGATGTGCCTGGAAGTCGTCAAGGTGAGGCCGGTGGGACACGAGGGCTTCAAGACATTCGGCATCGTGAAGAACAAGAACAGCAAGATGAACAAGGAGCCCTGCTTCTTCCGCAGCATGCTGGTGGTTCATAAACTGCTGCCCCCCGAGCTGCTCCAAATGTGGAGCCTTGTCCACAGTAACTTAACCTGCTCCAGAAAACTCAACATCCTTTAGCTCGGCCGCCTCGGGGAGCTGGGCGCGCCGGGCCTGGAAGGGGTGCAGGGCAAGCGCGGAGACTCAGACAAGGCCGACCAGCTCTGCCACAGCCTTGCCTTCCACAGACAGAGGGACAGAGATCATGGGGAGGGGGAAGGGGAGGTTTTGTAAGGATGATTTATTGTTAATTTGTACTGTATTGAGTTTATTTTATCTCCAGCTGGGTTGGGGGTTGCTGAATAAGTATAAGGAGAATGAAGGAAAAACCGGACAAAGAAGGAGGGAGGGAGAGGGAAGGGTCCATGTGGGGAGGTCTGCTCCGGCTGCTGCATCGGCCCGCGCCAGGAAGGGAACGAGACCCAGCGCTGGGTGCAGGACTGAGCTCTGTGGGGTGAGAAGGGATGAAATCTGGAGTCAATCGGCGCGTGGTGGAAGCGCTTTGAAGCCCTCCTTCCAAACCGGTGGGAGTTGCGCATCCTCCACCTCCCCATGCACTTTGTCATCTGCTTCGTCTCCACTGTCTGCAGGGTTCTCCAGGCAGCCCGCCTGCCGGGGCTGGCGGTGGTCTCCAGCCCCGCTGCCCTGCCTTGGTTTGCTCTCTCCCGACCCGTGCGGCAGTGGTGCGTTGTCCCCAGAGGCACGGCAGGCCTGTGTGAGAGCCACGCAGGTGGTGCCCACATGTGTGTCACCGCTGCCAGCTGAGGGTGACCAGAGCCCCGTGGGCAGGGGTTGGCAGAAGGGTCTCGGTGCAGGAAGGTGGAGGGGTGCGAGGGTCTGGAAAGCCCAGACACTTCCAGGAAAAAAGCCCAAGGGTTTCCATGCCTGGTCTGAAAAAAATTGGGCATCTGGGGCATTTTCCCAGCCACGGGACCTCTCTAACCACAAGGCAGTCTGCAGCCTTCGTGGCCAGCTGCACCTGGGAGCAACAGTCTGGCCCGGTGCTGTTGACCTCCTTAATGGTGGGGTGGAGGGTGCTGAGCTCCTGACACCCTACACAGTCCAGTCTTTATGGGGCACAGCAGTTGCACGGGGGTGACACCGGGGTTTGTGTGGATGCGTGGGCACCGTGGCCTGAGCTGTCAGGGCCGGAGCAGCCCTGAGATGTGCAGCTGAGTAGGAGCCAGGCAGCTTTCAGTCCCTCGAGCCTTGTTCCCAGCATCATACCCAGGCAGCTAGTGCTCCAGGGCGGACCTGAGAGTGCCCACGTGAAGAGGATGCCACGGGGGCTCAGGGCCGGCGTCTGCATTGCAGCAGTGAGTGAATCGCCCTCCACCCCACTTCCCTGCTCCCACACGCATTGCACGTGGGCTGTCACTCATGCACCAGACTGCCCCTGGCACACGTGGGTAGGCAACCATGCCTCTGCCCAGTCCTGCAGCGGTCTGCCCACTAGCCTACACCTGCAGACTGTGCAAAGCTACACACGTGTGCAGAGAGTCACACGCCCAGACCTGCGGGCGTGTTTGGATGCAGCCGATGGTGGAAGCCGAGAAGCGTGTTGGCGTGTCCTCACCCCCAGCCCGGCTGCACCACACGTTGCGGTACACTGAGGCAGACGCTGCAATGCACACGCAGCCCCAGGCGTGCCTGCAGCCGCACACATGCCCAGAGCAATGACATGCATGCTTGCACTCTCTCTCCCTGGTGCCAGGCAGTGAAAGGAAAGTATTTTGACTACCTCAAAGGTCCCCCCTGTGCAGCGCCTTTTTATTGACTCTTGGAAACGTGCCCATTTCATTTATTCCCTGTCTGTACGGCCCCAGGTTAGAAAACAAACAAGAAAGGGGGAAAACCTGCCAGCAAGGCCAGCCATGCCAGGCGCACCACATAGCCTTGGCTCAGATGAGCTGCGACGTTGCAAAGCGGGGCCGAAGCCCCATCCACACTCCTCGGGAAGCCTCAGCGCTGCGAAGTGCTGGACTCCAGACCGGCAAGGCTCTGGGCCGGGGTATTGCACATGTACAGCTTCGTTACTGTGAACTTTTATTTACGATAATGATTTGGACTTGGCCGGGGCGGGGGGAGGAACCGGACGGATGTGCTCCTCCAAGAAACTTCAGTGAACGTTCATGTTGTCTGCGCCCAGCCAGGCCCGTCTTGTGCCTCTCACGGCACCTGCAGGTGCAAAGCAGGGACCAGGGCAGAAGCTGACGTGTGTGCACGTGGGTGTGTGTGCGTGTGTGTGCACGTGTCTCATTGCAGAATCCAGAGGCGGCAGCCAGTGCTAATATTTATGAACACACACCCGCGTGCACACGCACCCATGCACACACACACACACACACATGCTATAAATCTGTGTTTGTAATTTATCTATGGGTGCAGTATATATGTATGTATATTTATAGTATATACTGTAGGTGGTTTTATGCAATGTGTGTGTGTGTGTGTGTGTGTGTGTATGGATGGACACTAATACCTGTGCACATAAACCTCCCGCTGGTTCTTTTCACCTGGTGAGCGCTGGACAGAAAGCGCCAGTAGATTTGATGAATATTTTAGTTTCTCAATAAAGGTTTAAAAAACAAACTCTGAGCAGGTGGATTTCTGCTGGGAGGGCAAGGGAGAGCCCGAGCCAGCGGGTTAAGAGGGGCCAGGGTGCGATGTGCCTCCGTGGCTAGCATCGACCCGTGTGTGTGACTACTATAGAGACACACCTGAGTGTGCCCCCAACCTCTGTGATTGAAGCTGTCTCCTGGGGTCACCAATGTGCTCCGCGTAGCCCCGGCCTGGGAGCAGCCCGCTCCCGCGATGCTGTGCTGCCTCTGTCTATGCCGTGCTGGAAGACAGAGCTCCACTGCAGAGCAGGTAACGGGTCCTGAAGGCTGGGTTTGGCACGTGAGACCTCTTTACACAGAAGCACTGGTTTACAACTGGGCCTGTGAAGGCTCAAACTGGTTTTAAAGTGGGGAGGGGGTGTAAAAATTCCCCAGCCACAGCCCCCAGCGGCACCTGCCATCGTGTGTGCAGTTGTCAGGTTGTAATGGGTCCATACCCTGCCGCCTTGGGGTGTGTGCAGGTTCACCACGTGGGGACTGCACCCAGCCCCTCGTTCCCCTGCATACCCTGCTCAGGGGGATCAGGGACAGCGAGTGGCCCCCGGTGTGGATGGGCAGGAGGAGGGCCAGGGCAGGGCACTGGTCCTGCTGGCTGGGAGGCCGGGGGAGGTGGATTCCAGGGCTGCATCTTCTCCCCTCTGCTGCTCATCTCCAGGAGGCAACCACAGCTGGAGCACAGCTGGAGCACGCAGGGGCCAATGGTTGTCACACCAGTGCCACCTGCCGGAGAGAAGCAGGCAAAGCCGGGCAAGAGCCGGCAGAGAGCAGCCATCGCCCCTGGAGAGCTCCCAGGACCCTTGCTGCAGGGTGGCAAGGACCAGCCTGGCCTCAGCCCCTCACCCAGGATCAATGCCTGAGGGCTTCCTTTCATAGCAGGCACCTGCTGTCCCCAGGCCAGACATCACCAGCAGCGCTATCGCTATCGTGGGCCTGGTTGGACCCCGACTCAAGGATGTATTTAAATAGGTTGTGGGTGGATTGCTTTCAGTGCAGCCAAAGGCAGACAGCATGAATATAGTGATTAAGGTCTAGGCTGGGCATTGCCTCTAGCCATAGACACACCTGTGTGCGCCCTCTGTGATTGAAGCTGTCCCCTGAGGTCACGCGATGTTCTCCGTATAGCCTTGCCCTGGGAGGATGCTGTGCTGCCTCTGTGCCGGGCTGGGAGACGGAGCTACACCATAAAGCAGTTAATGGGTCCTAAAGGCTGGGCTTGGTGCTTGAGACTTGTCTATACTGGAGTGGTGGTTTGAAAGTGGTCCTGCGAAGGCTCAAACTGGTTTTAAAGTGTGTGTGTCGGGGGGGTGGGGGGTGAAAATTTCCCAGCCACGGCTCCCAGCAGCACCTGCCATTGCAGTGTGTGGTTGTCCGGGTGTAACAGGTCCGTACCCCTGCCTTCTTGTGGGGGCGTGGAAGCACCATGCGGGGACAGTGCACCCAGCCCCTTGCCCCGTCCCCCACCCTGTCCCCTGCCCCTTTTGCTGCCGCTGTCCCACTGCGAGTGAGCCAGGCCAGAGAGTTGCCCCCAGTGCGGACGGGCAGGAGGAGGGCCAGGGCAGGACACTGGTCCTGCTAGCTGGGAGGTGGATCCCAGGGCTGCACCTTCTCCTCCATCTCCCCTCTGCTGCTCACATCCTGGAGGCAACCACAGCTGGAGTAGTCCAGTACTTGCAGACTGGTGTTAACCCCGGCAGGGGGAGTTGATTCAAGACTCGGTTTGAGAGCCGGGGAAAGTCCAGCCCAGGGACTAGCTGGCAGCTCCCCTTAAACCTGGGTGTCTCGCTGGGTTAACACATACACGTGACATGAGTTTTGCTTTCAAGAATTTGGGGTGCAGTTCCCCCCGAACCCCTGCACCGATCTTCTTGAACCTTGGCAGGCTTCATGCTCTCAGCAGAGGCTACCACCCCCTGCAAGCTTCATCCAAATCAAACAAAAAACAACAAAGTTATGGATATTTGATTGATTCCCCATTATAGCCTATGGCCGGATCTCCAAAGCAGCTCCAAAGCTTTTCCGAACCGCTCCGGAAAGCCTAACAAAGCCAGCGCTTCGATCCAGACATGCTGCTTCAGACGCCGAAGTGTCTGAAGCTTCTCCAGATCTGAAGCCTCGCACAGGCCTCAGCCTAACTGGTTGGACAATGGATGGGTTGTGTCAGGGTTGATTAGGTTGGCCAAGAGGATGGCCAATGGATTAGTCTAGGATGGGTTGGGTCAAGGTGTTGGCGAACGGGTAGGTTGGTAGGGTGTTAAGTGACAAAATGAGATTCCAGACTAGCGTTAAAGAAGTGACACGACAACTCATTTTGTTGGCTACAAAGGACCAACTCATAGGATCATCATAACATTCAAGTTTATTAGACGGATGGAAAAGTCAGATCATAAACCTTGCGGCTGAGCCCCTCAAACACACACACACACATTCACACACACACACACACACACACACTCACAGTAGCTCACTATGAACAGTAAGCACTGGTGTCAAGATATACCTATCCCCAAGTGCTGGAGTCTGCCGTCGATGGCCAGTCGAGGCTTCTTCCAGTGTGATGTTGCTTCAGAAGGGGGTCGCCGGCTGGTCCATCCGGCTGGGACGGCAGGGTGCTGGTCAGGTCAGAGAGGGCACCATTGGGGGTCATTCTTCACTGCCTTTTATCCCTCTCTGGCAGACTTCGGTGACTCCCCAATTTTCAGGCTTACCCAATCCAGGGGTCGTTGACCCCGTGGGCCGTCCCCCGTGGTGGTTACTGGACAGCAGCTGTCAGCCCCAGGGGTCACGTCCGCAGGTACGTGCAGTCTTGGGAGTCCATTGATGACGTTTGATTAATTCACTGCTGTGATGAATAGGACTGTGGGGGCAGTTGATGGGGGTGGGGGTTGGGGGGTGGTATTCAGTCCTAAGAGTTGGTCTTTGGCATTGATTAGTTCAAACCAGGGTTTCTGTACCTTTAACAGTGACGGTTCAGGGAGTTCTTGGCTCTGCATTGATCCTTTCCTCTCCGTAGTCTACGCTCGCTAACACCACGACCGAAAGGGACTTGGGGGTCTTGACTGACCACCAGATGGACATGAGCCACCAATGCGATGCTGTGGCTGGCAGAGCAAACCAGACTCTGGAGTGCATCCACCAACGAATCTCAAGCAAAACCAGGGAAGTCATCGTCCCGATTTACGTGGACCTGGTGAGACTGCAGCTGGAGTGCTGCGTCCAGTATTGGGCCTCCCACTTCAGGAAGGACATGGAGAAGCTTGAGAGAGTCCAGCGGAGAGCACGTGCATGATCCACGGCCTGGAGGGCAGGCCGTACAAGGGGAGGCTGAGGGACTTGGGACTCTTCAGTCTGGAGAAGAGAAGGCTCAGGGGGGACTTGATGGCAGCCTACAATTATATAAGAGGGGTAGATACATCAGGGCCTGGGAGAACAGCTCTTCACCAGGGCTCCCCAAGGGATAACAAGGTGTAATGGCCATAAACCCCAGGAAGGCCGATTTAGACTACGGTGCGAGTGTCCGGGATCTGGAACAGACTCCCCCAGAAGTGGTGCAAGCACCTACTCTGGACTCCTGCAAAAAACAGGTGGATTTATTTCTTGCTGGGGTCACTTGATCCCAGCTGACTTCCTGCCTATAGTGGGGGGGCTGGCCTCGATGATCTCATGAGGTCCCTTCCAGCCCCTAATGTCTATGAAATCTATGCTTCTCTTCCAAGGCTCACCTAATCCCAGGCTATTTGTCTGCCATGCCGGGGCTGGGGGACATAGTCCTGGCACTGCGGTCCCCCCAGACTGGGCCCACAGAGCAGCTTGTACTGGTATTCTAGCTTGCTGTGGTTCAGGTAGCAGGTCTTCTGCTGAGAGGCGCCAGCCACTAGTGGTTCGTCACAGGTCCCCAGGAGGTCATCGTCCCACCCACTGTCCTTGTCCCATACTTGCACCTTCAGCCAGGAGGCCCTGGTTAACCTTCACAGCCCCCAAATCCAGACAGATGTTCCAGATGGGGTGGTTGTTGTTGTTCACAGTTCTGCTTTGGTTCAGCCTCTCCTGGTAGAAAACCTTGATGTAGGCATCGGTCTGGCTTCTGTAATCTCCCCACAGGCCTTCGCCATGTTTTACTGTAACCTCCAGCTTGCCCTGCCCCGTCCTGGGAGATCTTGTGGCTGCCTATAAATTATTAGGGGAGGTCAACGGGGAATAGGTGACGTGATGTTTACTAGGGCGCCCCAGGGAGTGACTAGGAATAATGGGTGTAAACTGGTTGAGGGTGGATTTAGGTTAGATATTAGGAAGAAATGTTTCACAGTAAGGGTGGCCAGGATCTGGAATGGGCTTCCAAGAGAGGTGGTGCTATCACCTAGCTTGGAGGTCTTCAAGAGGAGGCTGGATAGTCACCTGGCTGGGGTCATCTGAGCTCGGTCCTCTTTCCTGCCAGGGGCAGGGGGTCGGACACGATGATCCATTGGGGTCCCTTCCGACTCTACAGTCTATGAATCTATGAACCAACTAGATCTTGGCAAGCTTTAATTGCAAGCTTTCTGGCAACATCCTTTCTTCATCAGGCATTGGAGAAAAGATTGTAAAAGTTCTCCTGGGTTGAAATGACAGTTCATATTTCACAGGAGAGTTTCATAGTAGGTCGGGTCGGAAGGGACCTGAGCAGATCTAGTCCGACCCCCTGCCCTGGCAGGAAAGAGCACTGGGGTCAAACGGCCCCGGCCAGATGTTCGTCCAGCCTCCTCTTAAAGACCCCCAGGGGAGGAGCCAGCACCACGTCTCTTCGCAGTTGGTTCCAGATCCTAGCCGCCGTGACAGTGAAGTCGCGCCTCCTGATGTCTAGTCTGAATCTACCCTCTGCCAGCTTGTGACCGTTATATCTTGTCACTCCTGGCAGGGCTCGGGGGAACAGGGACTCCCCCAGTGCCTGCTGGTCCCCCCGACTAGTTTGTAACAGGCCACCAGATCCCCTCTCAGCCTTCTCTTGTGGAGGCTGCACAGGTTCAGGTCCCGTCGCCTCTCCTCGTAGGACCTGCCCTGCTGCCCCCTGACCATGCGGGTGGCCTCCTCTGGACCCTCTCCATGCTGGCCACATCCCTCCTGAAGTGCGGCGCCCAGAACTGGACGCAGTACTCCAGCTGCGGCCTGACCAGTGTCACATAGAGGGGGAGGATCACCTCCTTGGACCTGCTCGAGATGCATCTGTGGATGCACGACAAGGTGCGGCACCTGTAGGTATGCTGCTGGTTCTTCCTCCCCAGGTGCAGCACCTTGCACTTGTCAGTGTTGAAACCCATCCTGTTCTCATCCGCCCACCCCTGTAACCTGTCCAGGTCCGATTGCAGCCTGTCCCTCTCCTTCAGCGTGCCCACTTCCCCCCACATCTTAGTGTCGTCTGCAAATTTAAACAAGGTGCTTTTTACTCCCTCGTCCAAGTTGCTGATGAAGATGTTGAACAGTGCGGGCCCGAGGACCGAGCCCTGGGGGACCCCACTGCCCACATCCCTCCCGGTCGAATAAGACCCGTCCACCAGCACTCTCTGGGTGCGGCCCTCCAGCCAGTTCGCGACCCATCTGTGTAGGTGTCGACGCCACAGTCCCCTAGTTTTTTAATGAGAATGGGGTGAGAGACAGTGTCGAAGGCCTTCCTGAAGTCCAGAAAGACTACGTCCACTGCTACCCCTGCGTCCAAGGATTTTGTGACCCGGTCGTAGAAGGCCACCAGGTTGGTCTGACAGGACCTGCCTCGAATGAACCCGTGTTGGTTGCCCCTAAGCATAACCTCCCCTGCCGGCCCCTCGCGGACATGCGCCAGGATAACTCTCTCAAAAAGCTTACCCAGGACCGAGGTAAGACTAACTGATCTATAGTTCCCTGGGTCCTCCTTCCCCCCTTTTTTGAAAATGTGGACCACATTGGCCCTTTTCCAGTCCTCCGGCACCTCGCCAGAGCGCCACGAGTGCTTGTAAAGCCATGCCGGGGTCCCGCAATGACCTCTGCTCATTCCCTCGGCACCTTGGGGTGGAGATCGTCAGGACCAGCTGATTTAAATACATCCAGTCCCTCCAGGAGTTCCCTGACTAGGTCCTCATGGACCCTGGGCCTGGCTGCGCCTCAGTTGAAGCTGAGTTTGCAACAGTTCATTTCATCTGCAGATTATATGCACCGGCGTGACTTGCAGTGGGCTGTGCACTGATGGGAGCTCCATGGGTGTCCAGAGAGGATAGATGATCCTCTTCCCAGGGGAGTTATGCTGTTACACCTCATATGATAGGACCTGGTAATACCCTATCTGCATTGAACCCCTCTGGCCCCCCAATTATAAGCTGACGGCAGCTGCAGACACATGACGGGTGCACCAGGGCAACTTATACATGTGTGTAGTTACTGATGACCCAGAGGTAGTTACCCCCCCAGGGTGGGGAGACTTACACTGGCCTAAGACTGCACCCAAAATCAGAGACGTGTTGTTGGAAGGGGGCTCCATCTAGTCCAACCCCTGCCTGAAGCAGGATCATCCCTATCCAAACCATCCCAGACAAATCCTTTGGCTAATTTATCAATAAAATTACACCGTCAACCCTGATACGACGGCAAGGCAGGGCACCCGAACCTGCCCCAGTTAAGCAGGGGGACGATGGCAGCCATCATCCTGCTGCTGCACAGGTTGTAAAAATAGACCTGAGAGATGCCAGGAAGAGCTGTGCCTCCGCTACAGAGCGGGGCAAAATCTCCCAGAGTCCAAGCCAGTCTGACCAAGGGCTGGAAATCCTTCCTGATCCCAAAAGTGGCATCAGTCTGACCCTGAGCCGTGGGAAAAGACCCTCTGGCCAGGCACCTATGGGTTTGAATATCAGCAGGGGCGTTGTGACAGCTCAGGCAAAGTCCCAGCCTGGGCTGCAGCAACACCCAGCGCTTAAAAACACCTGGTAGCAACAAAAGAAGAAACAAATTCCTTCCCAGCACCATGGGGCAAGCAGCAAAACCCACAAGCCTGGGAAATGCCCATAGTAGAAGACAGGCATCGCTACTCCTCGATCGTCCCTGACCCCTGGCTGCCCAACCCCTTGTCGAGCACCTCCAGCGATGGAGAGTCCACGCCTGCCCTGGGCATCTAGTCCACCGCCTCCCTGCTCGAACAGCGCACAAGTTATTCCCGATCTCCAATCTCAACCGACTCTGCTGCAACTTCAAGCCATTGGGCCATGGCCTTCTCCCTGCACCAAGAGCGAAAAGTTGTACACAAACACACACACCGGACACACCGATCCGAGGGTCAGCTCAGACTTGTGTGGCACTGCAGAAAAGCAGACCCGGGTGAGGAAACCGGAGCAGCATCGCAGTGGGTGTGTCGACACAAGACGCTACAAAGCGATAGCGATGCGCTGCAGTGCTGGAGCGCCTGTTGGCAAAATCTGTGATGCTACCGCTATGTTGCCAGAATAACACGCTCCCTCTCTCTAGTGCATTGCTATGGTGACGTAGCAGTCAAAAACAAGCACGCGTGGCAGGCACGGGGCAGTACGGGCTGTCACTGTGCCGTTCAAAAGGAAGTACTAAATGACGGTGCAGTAACAAATGTGCTGTGTGGGCAGGTGTAGATGCACCCACCGAGTCGTTGCACGGTGGCTGTGGATGATCAGAAACAGGAAACAGCTTCTGCTTGGGCCATGGGAAAGCTGGTCCCATTCTCATCATAAACTATGGGCTGGACGGGACCTCGGGAGGTCACGTCTAGTCCAAACCCCTGCTCCAAGCAGGACCAGCCCCACCTAGAGCATCCCAGCCAAGGCTTTGTCTACCCAGGTCTTCAACACCTCCAAGGATGCAGACTGCACCACCTCTCCAGGTAACTTGTTCCAGTGCTTTACTACTCTCCTCGTGAGAAAGTTTGTCTTTATATCCAACCTCTACTTCCCTTGCTGCAGCTTGAGCCCATTGCTCCTTGTCCTGACATCTGCCCCCACTGAGACCAGCCCAGCTCCATCCTCTTTGCAACCGCCCTGCAGGACCAGGGAGGTGAAAGCTGCTATTAGACGTTCATTGTCTTTTAAACAAACGCCCCAGATTTTTTTTTCTTTTTTTTGAACATTTTTAATATCAATTCCCTCCTTTCTTCCATGTTTGCTTTGCCCCCGTTTTCCCCATTAAAATGAGCAAAAAGGAACAAAAGTGACACTACCAGAAAAGCAGGCAGGGGAGATCTGCAGCTCATAGCAGTCTAACTGCATCAGTGATTTCATATACGTCTCTGATGTAGTCTGTGAGATACAATCTGCCTTGCTCTTAGCTTGACTTCAGACTTGCACAGTGCACTACCTCTGTCTTTACACCGATCTCTGCTCAAAAATAGGGAAAAAATGTCCACCTCTTCTCCATCTCTTTTCCCAATTTAGAAAAAATAAAGAAATAAAAGTGGGGAGAGAAGAAGGGGAAGACACGCCCCCCCAATAAAATTCAAAACCTAGTATTTTTTCATATTTGACATTACTCCAGATCTATTAGTGTAGCCCAGGTACACCCGGGGGGTGTGCTCTGTCCTCCGGTGACAGTGGTGGTGGTCAAGCACGGTGCTGAGGAAGGGGTCAGCTACTGGAGCGGCTTCCTCCCCTCTCTGTAGAGCTAGGTCAAAACCAAACACTTAACTATGTACAATTTATTACAAGAATAAATACAGATGCTCAATATAAAATATAGAATATTTACAAGGCTTAACATAAAATACTATATATAATATTCCACAGTTCACATATAACACCAAATGTGAACCAAATAACTTAGAACTTATACAAGACAATTAACACATAGGGATAGTCACTTAACCATGATAGTTCTTTAAACCTTGACAAATAACAATACCAATATACACACTGAGACATTAACACACACAAACCATATAACCCCCCTTAAAGCATACCCCTAGCTGTATAGCCCTTAACACGACAACCTCAAAATAGGGAGTGCACGACGCACCTCCCCGAGGGGTTTCCCTGAAGCCCCTCCCCCTTAGGGACGTGGACACGCCCCTCCCGCAATGGCAGGTGGAGGCGGCTTACCCTCCTGTCTCGCGGGAGCCAACTCCCCGGCACATCCAGGCACATCCCCAGGAAGACGTCGTCGATGGGGTACAGCTCCAAGGTCTCAGAGGCCTTGTGCAGTTTCTTGGCCAGGGGTCCGTCCATGAGGAAGCCCCCGCCGCCCACGTAGGGAGGGTAGGTGCTCTTGTTGTAGAGGGCGCTGGGGATGTAGTACTTGTTCTCTTTCTTGCGGATGGGCCTGGCCTTGTACAGGACGTCCCCGACTAAGAGGTCTTCCTGCTTCTGGTCCTTCAAGAACTCCAGGATGTTGCGGGGGCTGACGAAGACGTCGTCGTCCCCCTTGAAGACGTAGCGGACGTTGTCGCAGTAGATGTTGAGCCACTTCAAGAAGTGCACCTCCTTGAGGGTGAGGTTGAAGAAGCTGTCCAGGAAATCCCACTGCAGGATGTCCCCGTAGATGAAGTTCTCGTAATCCAGCAGCTTCTGGTAGTTGGCCCTCTCCTCCTCCTTGGCGGCCGTGCCCAACAAGAACAGCGTCTTGATCTTCTTGCCCCCCATCTCCTTCTCCTCACCCCAGGTCCTCCGGATGGCTTCGCGCCGGTCGTGCTGCGTGATGATGGACTTGACCACGATGAGCAGGTCGACGGCCCCGCTGCACTTCTCCGGGTGGTTGATCAGCATGGGGAAATACCGGCAGTGCCGGTACAGCAGGAACTGCTGGAAGTTGGGCTCCAGCCCCTTGAACCAGTCTATCTGGGTGAAGTTCGGGTTGGCCGTGCAGTTGCTGGTGGTGACATCCCAGGTTCTCACCTGCTCCTCCGTCACCGGCTCCGCCTCCGCCTCCGGCTCCGCCTCCGTTGGGGGAATCTCCTTCTTGCTCTTCCAAAAGTTGCTGGTGATGGAGAAGATGCTGTCCCTCTTCTGAGCTTTCACCGGCTCCTGGGAAAGGAACGGCTTCTGCGGCTGGCCCGACATGAACTGGCCGGGTGCCATTCCCCGTTGCAGCACCATCACCATGATCGCCAGCACGAAGGACAGGCAGATGCTTCTGTAGATGGTCTTCTTCCTAAGGACACAAGGTATACAGTTAAAGAAAGGAAGGTACGGGCTGGGGGAAGTGCTCCGAGGTCAGCCCGCATCTCTCTTTGGGTAGGCCTAGTCCAGCTCCAAGGCAACCCGAAGAAACAAGCCCCGCTCCCTTGCTCTGACTCCACTTTCTCCACAAAAAAATGGTCCTGGGGTCATTTTGTAGCCTGCCCAGGGATGCGCCCAGGCCGTGGTGCTAGGTGCTCCCAGCACTGCTTGGACGGGGGTAGAGCCTGTTTCCAGCATCACCATCCTAGGTGGTATAGGCCTAGCATTTCATAGGTTTTTATTCTGAGGACCAGAGAATTCCTGGTTCAGTGCAAATGCCAGAAAATGTGTACGGAGAAGGCACACAGAGAGAAAAAGAGACAGACAGAAAGAGAAGAGATGGAGAGAGACGGATGGGAAGGACAGCCCTATTCATCCCGAGAGGCGAGAGCAGCTGCAATGCACAATGTTTCCTTCGTGAAAACTCAAGTTTCATCAGAGCCGACTGTCTCCGTTTTCAGCGCCACCTCCATTGCAAGAACGTGGATTTCCGTCGCAGCGGTGTCGATTGCACACCGGCACTGCCAATGACAAGGTTCTCCTAGTTCCCCCCCCCAAAAATCCTTTTAAGGATGTTTTTCAATAGGAACGCAGAGTGTCCAAACCATTCTGCCCCGCCGTGGTTATTCTGAGATCTTCGCAGCAGAGGCTTTGCTCTACTAGTTTTCTGTAATCAAAAAAAGAAAAAGAAAAAAGTGCAATTCGTTTTTGAAACAAGATGGCAGTAAACTCAGACAAGTTACAGAGGGATGACTTGAATCAAGACTCAAAAACTAGAAGGTAAAGATGTCAGGCCCAGGTATCATGGGTCTGACATGGACCCTGACTCAAGAACGTATTTAAATGGGTTGTGGGTGGATTGATTTCAGCACAGCCAAACGCAGGCGGCAGGAATATGGTGAGTAAGGTCTCGGACAGATTGTCCCGTATGCAGAGATCCTTCTGACCAGGATGCAGTGTAAAGGGACCAGGTTCAGGCGGTAGGGTGACAGGCTCCGGTACCAACTGCAAACACACTTCCACCCTCTCCTTAAAATCATAGAAAATTCAGGCTGGAAGGGAGCTCAGGAGGTCACATCTAGTCCAACCCCCTGCTCCAAGCAGGACCAGCCCCAACTACATCATCCCAG